TTGGATTTTCTTTAATGTAATCCTCATATTTTTCAATAAAGTACCTCATTGTGTGTTCATAAAGTGACTCAAGACCAAGTTCATCAGCTGCAATCAATAATTGCAATACATCTACTCCATTAAACCCATTTATTCGATTTTGCAAGTATATAAAAACCTTTTAAATATAAAATAATAATAATATTATTATTATTATTAAATTAAAAAAATAAACAAATGGTAAAAATTATTATTAAACTATTATCGATAAAAAACCCTACCACCCATATTCAGCTTTCTAAATTTATAAATATTATTATTATCAATAATATAACAAACTTACTTAAGTATTGTCTTAAGGGCTAATTCATTAAGATTTGCTTTCTCAATAATATAATAACCATTTTCTTTTTTTGCATTCATTAATGCATTTCGAAAAAAAGGACAATGAGCACATATGATTGATGAATGTGAATGAACTTCTTTAATATTTGGCTCCATACCAACACAAATTTTTACATCATAGAAATCTTCTGTATTTAATAGTCATTCATTTTCATTAAAATATGTTTCAAAGATAGCTGAATCCATTTTTTAGAATTCTTTTTTTTATGTTGAGCCCTACGACCTTTTCCATTTTTTCCTTTTCCGTCCTTGTGATTTGATGATCTTTGTTTTTTTTTCAGCCCATACACAAATTCCCCGTTTAATGCTAACATTTTAAAACAATTAAAGATTAAATAATTATTTAATGTTTTATATATGATTGTTTTGTTATTCTATAGGATTTTTGTAAAAATAAAAATGACAAAAAAATAAGCTACGAAAGTCTTTGTATTCTACTCGGAAAATTTCTTCTATGTGAGTATGAAGTTAGTTGGCTTTTTTTCTTAGAGTTAAATCCTATATACTTGGAAAGTATAATAATCATGTATTTTCCGCAAAAATATCCGCAATCTCCAAATCAATTTCTAAATAAGGATAACACGCAACCAACCCACCAATAAAATTGGATACTTTCATGAT